GAAATGCGGGGTTGCAGGGCCCCCCTGCGAACCCATCCACTCCACACCCCCAAGCCATGAGGTTATTTAAGATCACAACCGTCAACGTCCACAGCTGCAGGAAGGGTCTCAGGAGACACCGGGTGCTCTCCTTTCTTCAGGAGGGGGCGTACCCCATGGTATTCTTGCAGGAGACCCTGACAACTCCAGCTGATGAGCCTAATTGGCAGCTGGAGTGGGGAGGCAGGGTCTTTTTTAGTTACTTCTCAGCCACCTCTTGCCAGGTGGCCACTCTATTCTCAGGCCTGCAGCTGGAGGTTCTCCAGGACATTGAGGTGGTTCTGGGCCGCCTGCTGCACCTCTAGGTCCAAGTGTAGGGGCTGGTCCTGAACCTTCTGAATGTGTACGCCCCTGCGAAGCACCCGGAGTTGGCTGATTTTTTTCCACCAGGCGGCCAATTACATCGGCACCCCCAACCCTTGCGAGTGCCTGGTTCTTGGCAGGGACTTTAATGTCACCCTAGATCCACGAGACAGGCTGGGCAGGGAGCGGAACCAGGCCACCATGGGTGTCCTCAGTGGGGATCCTGACGAACTACTCTCTGGTGGACGTCTGGCATGCCTGTCACCCTACCAGCCCCCCGCCTTCATCTATGTGAGGGTTGGGGAGGAGCAGGCATACCACTCCCGGTTGGACCATATTTATATCTCTTTTCTGCACTTTGCCTGGGCCCACTCCTCTGGCATCCAGCTGACCCTTTTCAGCGATAACCACCTTGTCTGGGCCCAGGCCACGCTGGGGCCTAGGCATCCAGGGTTGGCCTACTGGCATTTTAATGTCCATCTGCTGGAGGATGTAGGCTTCAGGGAGGCCTTCTGGGAGTTCTGGCTGGCCTGGTGGGAGCAACAGGCAGCTTTCCCCTCAGCTCAGAGATGGTGGGACATGGGAAAGGTGCACATCTGGCTTTTTTGCCGCAGCTACACTCAGGGCACACCCAGCAGGGGGAGACAGTCTGGGAGCAGCTCGAGTGGGAAGTGCTGGAGAGGCACCTGGCCACTGACCCAACCAACCCATCCTCTTTGGAGAGTGTCGGGAGAGGTGGGAAGAGCTTTGTGCTCCGGAGGACTGCCGTGTCTGCGGAGTGTTTGTCCGTTCACGCATCCAGCTCCTTCGGGAGATGGACTGTGACTTCCGCTTCTTCTATAACCTGGAGAGGAGGTGGGAGGTCAAGAAGTACAACACTTGCCTTTTGGTGGGTCACGGCACCCCCCTCATGGATCCAGGAGAGATGAACCGACACATGCAGGCCTTCTACAAAGAGCTCTTCTCCCTAGAGCCAAACAACGCCGAAGCCTGTCAGACTCTGTGGGAGGGGTTCCCACAGGTTGGCACAGGCAACCGGGACTGACTATAGGCTCCTCTCACTGGCCAAGTTTTCGACCACCCTCCGCCTGATGCCTGGCAATAAGGCACCAGGCATCGATGGGCTGACTGTGGAGTTCTACCAGGCCTTCTGGGATGTCCTCAGCCTGGGTTTTGCTGTGGTCTGGTCCAAATCTGAGGGAAGTAGGGAACTCCCCCTGTCATGCTGGAGGGCCACGCTGACCCTGAAGAAGGGAGATCCCCACAACCTGAGGAACTGGCATCCCATGTCTCTCCTCTGCATGGACTACGAGGTGGCAGCGAAGGCCATCTTGCTGAGCCTGCAGCCCGTGTGATAGATGTAATCCATCCCAACCAGACGTACACAGTGCCTGGATGTTTCATCTTTAACCACCTGTACCTGGTTTGGGACCTCCTAGAACTAGTTCACTAGGAGGGCCTGTCTTTCACCCTCCTATCCCTGGACCAGGAGAAAGCATTTGACTGAGTGGATCATGAGTACGTCACAGGCATACTGCAGGCCTTTGGCTTCAGGCCCCACTTTGTGCAGGATCTCCAGGTGCTGTACACCTCTGCAGAGTGTTTGGTCAATCTCAACTGGACCCTGATAGAGCCCATCCTGTTAAGGAGACGAGTGCATCAAGGCTGCCCGCTGTCAGGCCAGCTGTACACCTTGGCCCTTCCTCATCCTCCTGCAGAGGCGGGTGGTGAGCTTGGTGCTCCAGGGGTCAGTGGTGAGGCTGGTCCTGTCAGCGTATGCTGATGACGTACTCCTCATGGTCCAGAACGCAGTCAACCTGATGCAGGTGAAGGCCTGTCAGGCATTGTACTTGGCAGCCTCCTTTGCCCGGGTCAACTGGGTCAAGAGCTTTGGCCTGACAATGGGTGATGGGTAGCAAGTGGGCTCACGCCCACCCATGCTCCACGGAATCCCCCCACCTTTTAGTTTTTGGTCACCCCATCCATGGCCCCACCAAGTCCTGGTCCTCCTCCTGGCCCTGGCCAAGTCACTTGTCTGTGCACATTTCTGGGCAGAGCACCAGTGGGCGGCATCCACCTGCACCTTGGATGACTTTGAGGACCGGTAGGTGTGGCCCTGGGGGCTCTGCTCGGTGTCCCCCTCAGGTTCCTTTATTTTCACGTTTTGACCCTTTGACCAACATGACACTCCTATCCTGTTTTTTTCATTAGTTGTCCCAAGAATTTAGTAGTACCACTCACTCATTAGCCTCACACGGGGTTACTAGTTAGCCAGGTGGGCCTTAGGGTCCATGGTATGAGTGTTACAAATAGACAGGAGCCTTGCTGCAGCTCTGCTACTTAGGAGCTCTTTCCTCCACAGCTCTCCAGGCTAGACTGCCTGTTCAGGTCAAGCCCTGGGCTTATATCCTGCTAGCCCAGCTCCTTTAGGTCACATGGCTCCTAATTGCCCCCAGCCACACCTGCAGGCTGCTTCTCACATGGCCTGTCTTCTCTTAAAGGAGCAGCAGCATCAAGCCTTCTGCTACAGAGGGATACTACCCAATTTATATAGATTACATTGGAACAACATCTCTACAGATGTTGCCAGGATTTTCTATCACTTGAACCCTTTAAATCAATGATTCTCAAACAGGGTGCCAGGGCAGGCTAGCAAGTTGCAATATCTTTTGAAGGGATCCAGGAGGTATGAGGAGATAGGCAGGTATGAGGAGATAAGGCCAAGCTCAGGCTCTTCCCAGCCTGGTCCCAGGCCTGCCTCCACTTCCTGACCCCTCTGCAATGAGCTAAGCACTGTAATAAATTAATTTTTTGAAATGGGGTGTTGCTCCATTCACAAAAGTTATGGAGGGCCTCAAGTCAAATGATGGGTGCCTCAAGTGTAAAAAGTTTGAAAACCGCTGCTTTAAATCAAACCTGGATGTCTTTCTAAAGATAATATCTTCTTTGTCCAACCATAAGATCTGGAGTTGATGTAGAAAAAACTGGGTGAGGTCTCACAGCCTGTGTCCCACAGAAGGGCAGACAAGGTGATCATACTGGTTCATTCTGAGTTGAAAATCTGTTAATCTATAAAAATCTTTAGATTGGGAGATGCAATCTCTTGCAGAGCCTTTCCATCTCTTAGCTATATATTAAAACCCCTCATTTTGCTCTTACAGAGAAAAAGTAAACCCAGAACTTTGCCAATCCTGTCTTACTGTGCCAGAAATCAGAAAGATGGAACCAAGCCACAGTGAAGTGCCCTGGGAAAGAGGTTGTCCAGTCCATCACTGTCCAATTGCTGCATCTCCCAGCTTGGTGAGAGATCACTTACCTTCTTCCAGCTGCATGCTTGGACCAATCTCCACCCAAGCCAATGGCCAGGTGCCATCCAGTTCCCAGGATTCACATCAGCATCACTTGTATTACCATTGCAACCAGCAAGAGCCTAGAGGCAGCTATGCTTTGCCCCCACTACCCGGGCATGGAGAGAGAGCCACCTTGTGTTCTCACCATTCCAGCGGGGATCCCTTGCCAGCTCCTCACCATGAAAACCCTGAAAGTCATTGGAAACAGTGGTCACATGACCAGCATCAATCACGGACAGTACAGCACCACATTGTAACAGTCAGGTAAGCCAAGGTTTATGCAAAAGGTCAGAGGGCTACTCATGGTCTCTCTTTGTATGGGGTAAAGGGACTGGGAATAGCCTGGGGACTGGTGCGAAAGGAGGAGGACTGCAGCTTTGCCAGCTCCTTACTTCCTTTTTAGCTACATGCACCCCATAGGTGCATAGAGGGGGCAGTGCTTTGATCCCTAGCTTTTGAATATGATGCACAAGCAGCTCCTAGCACCTGTGTGACTCATAAGAACCAGAGAAATTGTGATATTCCATTAAAAGAACTCCAGTAAATAAAACCAGTAGTCTCCCAGCTGGTGCCAGGACCTTCTGATCTAGCCGTGACTTTTATTTTGCTGTTCTCCATTTCCTTTCTACATCTTAAAAAATCTGTCACATGTCCTTTGGTCTGGAAGAATTTCAGTGTGACTGAGATCTATAATGTATGCTATGCAGGTGCCAAGGTGCTGGAGACTCCTGAATAACTTGTGGAGTTTCCTTTGTGGGAGAAGGAATGTTCCATCAGAACAGGAGAGCTACCTCTCATGGCACAGTTATGATCATAAAAATTATTTTTAAGGGTATTTCTACATTGTAGTGGCACTACTTAGCATGCTCTACCCTCCCACTGCCACAGCCACAGTCTACACTTGGAGACACAGTATTGCCAACTCTCATGATTTTTGGCATTGTTCTTAAAGTCTGTGCTTTGGTAATGTGAACGATTTAGCTTTCTTTTATATATATACATAAATATAAATATATATAAAAGAAAGCTACATTTTTCACATTCCCAAAGCATAGACTTTAAAGACAACACCAAAAATCATGAGAGTTGGCAACACTGGAGACATATCAGAAGGGCTGGTCTGAGGCCATCCCCTGCAGTTTCCTGCAAGACCTCAGTCTCCAGTGTGTTTGACAGCAGCCACTAGCGATGACCCTTGAGCAACCTCGGTAGTGTACTTTTAGTATGGAGTGTGCAAGCAAGAGTGTGTAGGCAAAGTGTACTCAGGGGTGTCCCTGCTAAGACATGCAGCCACCACAATATAGACAAGCCCTTAGGTAAATAGCTGCCCTCTGAGAATTAATGTGTGACTTCAAGTCACTGCCTGTACTGAAATAAGGGAAAGCTGCATATTATCACTTGCTCCCAGGGGCATTGCTCCTGAGGCAGCCCTGTTCCTGGAAGCACTGTAACAATGCTCAGAGACTCCACATGGGATACAACCTTTAATTTGGTATAATATACCACTACTCTCCTCCACCTACCACCGCACTTCTTGGCTTCATATGATTTTTTTAGGAGCATTCTTGGCACTGACAAACCCTTCAATACCATGTTAACAGGCACCTTGGAAAGAGAGAATGCTTGGAACCTCTACCCCAACACACGGGTACAGGCCAAGGCTCATTTTATGTTCTCAGTTTATAGGTGTTAACAGAGAAAGACCAGTTATATCAGGGGTGGGCAAAATGCGGCCCATGGGCCAAATGTGGCCCACCAGGCCATTGTATCCGGCTCACAGGGCCCCTAAAAAATTTAGAAAATATGTATGTGCCCCTGGCTGCCTGTCATATGGCCCTTGATGGCTTGCCAAAACTCAGCCCAGAATAATTGCCCACCCCTGAGTTATATTGTTGAGCTATTGCAGCCATAGGAGTGTGACCTGAATCCTATTTTACCTCACACACTGTCAACAAAACTGTTGGTTTAATTTTCTATAGTAGGTTATTTCAGCAGCAGACACAGCAAGATTTGCAGAGCCCTGGCAGATTTTGCAGCTCTGGCAGTCAGAAAAATGATTAAATAACAGTATTCTATGGTTCAGCAAATCTAATGCAAAAATGAGTGAGAGAGAAATAAAATAGAAATGCATTTCTGTGCTGACTGTAACCATTGTTTAAAATACAAGGCAAAACCAGCCCCCCAAAACTAGAGCATATTAGTCCAGTGAAGAAAGTGGTAAGTGATTTACTGATAAATTAACACACACCACCAAGTAGACCTCTTTCCATTCTCTGGGGTCTTTCCATTTGCTTTGCAAATTCTGCTGCTCAGTTTTACCATCCTGCCATCCATTCCACTCCTATAGAGCTGTTGCCATACAGCTGGAAGTGCTCCGTATGATAGCACATTGCTATGTAGGACAGTCCAGAATGAGGACATAAGGTTTTATAGCTAAGGGAAATGGCAGAGAAGAAGGAAAGGCCCTTTAGATCTGAATGTGGCTTTGGTTGCTGTGCAGGTGGGAAGCTCACACTCAAAGGTTTGTTAGCTACCTTCCAGTAACCCTGGAATCCTTAAAGGAGGCTTTGTTTCCAAAGCAGTGCATGGAGCCGTGCAACTAGAAATAAAAAATATCCACCTTTGAAGGATACACTGGCAAATGGTTCTGAGCAGCTCCATACCCCTACTGGCCCTCCACTAAAAACATTGTCCACTGAAAAGAACCCAACAGGCATATAATGTTGACCCTTATGTAAAAGTCCCATAGTATTGAACAATAAACTGTATTTTGAACCATAATTTTGAACCTTTGTTATTGAATGGTCAAAAAATCATTAAGCGAAATATTAAACTCTTTAGATTTGAGTGTACAGAGAATAGTGATGTAATTCCCACAGGACTATATTATAGCCAAATTAAATTCTGTAGATTTTTTTCCATAAAACTATTAACTAGGACTGGGATTCAAGCCTTAATCTACACATCTCTAGAATGCTGGTGAGAGGTTGTGCTGTTCACTAGAGTATTAAATTCATGCTGCAGCTTTTCCCAGCTGGAAATGTGCTGCATCATTTGTTGTTTTTCAGTCTCTGAAAGGGTTAACTTGCTTATGAGCAGCATAGCACTCAGTTTCATACTAAAATAATGCACCAATGAATCTCTTTCTCTCTGCAGACATGACAAAGGCTTCAGGATGCCAAAAAGGTATGTTTAATATCAAATGCTTTTCTGCTTTTCTACCCTGTTATCACTGTTCTCCTACCATGCTATTAGGAAACACAGCATATTATTCCCAGTGACATCCCAGATAGGAGAAGCCTCAGAGGCAAGGTCAGAGCTCCACATTAAGGATTTCCCATCTGTTTAGAAAGGTCATCTTCTGTTTGTGAAACAAATTTAACTTGTATTCAGACAACACTGAGTTGTCTATCTAGCTTTTCGCAGAGCAGGACTTACCTCTGGCTCATCCAACACTGTTATGTGTTTTTCTTTTCTGGACTAAAGCAAGACCAAGGAAGCAGCCTGCCAGCCTTGGAGTCAGGAAACCTGCAGAATGCTATGCACACCTCTGTCACTACCTTTTCAAGAGACCTTAGCAAGTCACTCCACTTCTTAGTCCTTCATTCTCCCTGTAATAATTGTTATCTGCCAGGTAAAGTGCTGTGACACTAAGACATATGGATAAAATATAACACTAATGTTGTTGCTGTTAAGAGGTTGCAATGGATTCACATGGAGCTTGCATTTCAGAACTGAGAACTGGAACACTTTGAGACACAGGGGATACATCAGCACATCTCCATACAGTGACATTGCTACGGTGCTGTGCTTTAGTACCTCCTTTTGGAAATAATAAAGCACGCTGCAGTACAGGCGGTTACTGCACCGTGCACATGGTACATGGTTAGATTTTGCCACTATGTTGCCGTAGTGGAATGCTATACTAGGGGAGCATGCTGCTACGATGACGTAATTGGCAATCACATGTAGACCTGCACGAAAGCTACATTGCCATAGCATGCCATACAGTGATGTAGTACATCGCTACGTTGTCACAGGGTGACGTGTAGATGTGCCCAAGATAGCTCTGTGTGAAGGAAATAGTACTAACAGCCTCCGAACTTTGTTTTTCATGGTCTTTGGTGGTAGAGACTTGCTTTTCAAGTCTCTATGTAGTGTGTCCTAGTTCTTTATATATTAATGTACCAGAAGCTCTACAAATTAAATTTAGATGACTATATTTTGAAGAGGTGTAAAATGCTGCAAGATGCAATCTCTGAGTGAAGAGGAATAATTCATGATGGAAAAATGATTGTTGCAAATCTAGGTACATTTTACAAAAAAGCACATATTTAATAGAAAAGACAAATGAAAATATTACCAGTCACCCTTATTTCCTGACCTCTTTTCCTCAAATTTCCTCCTTAGAAAAGAAGGAGAATGATTAAAGATCTGCACATTACGTGCTTTTCCATGTTCACACTGGTGTGAAGGCAGATTACATTGGTGTAAACGTGTCTTGTGCCTGCACCTCCTGGCTCAAAAAAGGCAAAGGACTGGGCTGGCAAGTGCATTATACCTCACAATTGAAGCCCCTCAGTATAGCCGCCATAAGCCTGAGTTTTCTGAACATAACATTCAATAGTAATCCCCTTCAATAATAATTCTTAAACCTCAGAAGACCAGAAATATTTAGAAACTTACCAGATCTGACTAAGGGGTGTCTAGTCTAGTATCCTGTCTCCAACAACAGCTTGTTCCACGTACTTCTAAAGAAAGTACAAAAAACTCCAGGCAATTGGGTCTAGGCTGCACTAGAAAAGATGTGCTGGTATAGACTACCAGTATAGCTATATTGGCAAACCCTTAGAGTGAAAATACAATGCATATCAGCAAAAGAGTCCTTTTCCAGATATATACTCATACACTGAATAATATAAGCAAGATTTTAGCAAGATTCAGTACCATCTTGTGGCAGAAATTCTACAAGTTAATTACCTACTGTGAGTATCCTAGTGAGATCTGCGGTTTCATGCCCCTTTTCATCAGTTACGCACTTGACTTCATGCAGCTGATAGTTTGGTCTGCACAACAAAAAGAAGCGGAGAAAAAGCCTTCTCAGAGGGAATCTTTTTCAGTTAAATATTTACAGGCTTATTTTGCCCTAGGATGCAAGTGCCTGGTTTTTATTATTTCCAATTGAAAAAGCAAGGAAATGGAGGGAAGGAGAATGCAATTACGCAAGTTAATTAGAACTACATGTAAACATCCAGTTGGAGACAACATTTTCATTATTCATTGAACTACATCCCCTAAGCTTTTCCACAAATATATTCCAAAACCAGGAAGCCTTTGTTGTATTTAATTTCCTTTTTCTAACATTGTGCTTAATATCTAACTTAATATCACCAGTGAGCTAACAGCTATATTTCTTTTCTTGTGTTGCTTCCAGTTATTCCCAGGTGATTGCTGAGTGGCCTGTAGCTGTCCTGGTGCTCTGTTCAGTGACAGTTGTGGTTTGTACTTTAGCTGGCCTGCTAGTTGGAAATTTGCCAGATTTTGCAGAGCCCTTGATGGTAAGTCCTCACCAATGGTATAAGCCATCTACATCATTCATAAAGGCAAAATTAATCATTGCAACAATAATTGAAGGTTTCATACGGCAACGTAAAACTGTTACATTCTTCCCACCTTCTTTGGAACTGGATGGAGAAGAGGGGCAGCCAGGAAACACATAAGGTTGTTAAAGTCACCACCTCTCAGATTCCTCCAGAATGCACAACAACATCTATTACCAATCTGCTGTACATCATATCAGTCTCAGAAATACCATATCCAAAGCTTCTGGAAGAGTATTATGCCACAAAAAAATCTGCAGCCCTTGCTCTTATGATGCAAAATGCAGAATCCATCCCTTTTAGTCAGGGCAGGATTGTTCTCTGCAGCATATTTTCTGGTCCTGGTCATAATTTTAAAGGACTTTAAAGAAAGATCTTTCTGAGTACCCTTAGAAGACCCTTTCACTGTTGAACAGACCTTGCCATTAAAAAATTTTTCTTGTTGTTCAGCCTTAACTTTCCTTTGCTCGTTCAACGTGTTCCTAGAGGTACTGCTTTTTGCCCTTCCTGAATAGTTCCTCTCTCTCTTGGTTGTTTATCCTTGCAGATATCTGTAGATATTTCTACAAATATCTGTTTCATAATACATTTCTCTCTTCTCATCTAATACAAAAAAGGCCTCAGAAAAAAATAAACCTTTCTCAGGTTCTAGCATGAGATGCAGAACAGATTTCCAGGACTGATAGAAGGAATCCTGTGGCCAAAGTCCTGCTATGGGCACAGACTGTGAAGGTGGAAGAAAAGAAATCCTTCTTTCACTAGTGTTGATTTGGGTTGAAACCCCCTATCTAGAGAAGATGAAGGAAATCCTGCTTGACCTGTTCAGTTTCAACTCTGGGCAGCTTGTCACAGGCCAAAAAGGAAAGGAGAAATTACATCTCTGTGGCCATGTCTATATGTGCATTAATGCACCGTAATTACAGTGCATTAAATTTAGTATCTGTAATAACAGCTACTAACTTAATATGCCGTAATCAGCGGTACTGCGCAGTAGCGATGGTGCACATCTTTTAGGTGATGCTAATGTGCAGCAGACTAATTCTACTGTGCATTAGTATGGCTTTCTCTGAGAGGCGCTAATGTCTGTTGAATTACTCTGCTTTGCTTCTAGCATCTCCCAGTAGGTTCTAAGATGGACTTCAGGTCCCTTTCCAGTAGAAATTCAATTTGTCTATGCCTCATAAAATATGATCAGATTCAAATAATCCCAGTCACTTCCTGTGTCTGACAAGAGACGTATAGGAGATGGATTAAGCAATGTTATGCTAAACTAAAGCTCCACTACTATAAATTAATAAAACCTTTTGCTTGTCTCTAGGGATTTGAGCCTCGAGATACTGACATTGGCAGAAAGCTCATTGTCTGGAAGAATATGCAAAGCCATACGGGCTATAAGAAGGCCCTTTTACTTTCTCCCTATACTGAGAAGAACAGGTGTGTAGACTTAGTAGTTTTTGTGGGGTTTGGGGCTCAGAATGCATTGATGAGCCTGCATGACCTCTGCTGAGACTTCTTAGTTTGGCTGTATTCAGCTGCAATGTTCCCTCTAAGGAGTAGCGGTCCGTGAGCACGCCGCCTCGATCCATGAGCACGCCGCCTCAGTCCAGCATGGGACACTTATCGAAGGGGGCTGGGGACCAGAGGCCGGGGGCTGGGGCCTGGGGCCTAGGGCCTGGAGGCTGGGGGCCGGAGGCTGGAGCCGAGAGGCTGGGGGCCAGAGGCTGGGGCTCGGGGTCGAAGGCTGGAGCTGGGGGCTGGACCGGGGAAGTGCTCCGCTCCCCCTCATCAGGTCTAGGGTGTGGAGCACTTCCCTGGAGCCGGCGGAGCCTGCACCAGCCCCCCACCAGCCCCCCGCGCCAGGCTCCATCCCTTCTTTGCCTCACCTCAGGGAGGAGCTGCTGCCTGCCCCAAGTGAGTCTCTGCCAGCTCCGGGACACTGCTCTGCCCCACCGCATGGCCTCAGCCCTGATGCGGGGGAGTGAAGCACTTCCCCGGAGCCAGCGGAGCCTGCGCCAGGCTCCCACCCCAGCCTCTCCTGGTGCGTGGCCTTGAAAAGGCTGAGCGTGGCCACACTTTTAGTTGTGCGCAGCTGTGCACACGCTCACCTTAAAGGGAACCTTGTTTGGCTGTAAAGTTAATGGATAACATTTGCAAAAGTATCCAACTGACAGTATAAAACGCATTGTCAAAAGTGACTAAGGTGCTTAGGAGCCTAAATCCCCTTTGTTTTCAGTGAGACTTAGGCCCATATTCCATTTTATCTACTAGGCACATAAATAAATGTAGGTGCCTAAGTATGAGTCTACTCCTCCCTACTCAAGTCTCTGAAAAAACTGTTAATAAAAAGGTGGGTGAGTCCTCCTCCTCATGGCTTTTTTATGGCTTAATCTTAAGGGTAAAATGATGGTGTGTTACAAATGGATTTTCTCTACTTGAATAGGGTGGAATAGGGTGGAATAGAATTGCACATAGACACCTAAGTTCACTTAGATGCCTAATAGGTGGGATCCTAAGTCACTTAGCTGCTCTTGAAAATTATGCTAAACTGGTTAAAGCAGCTGAATCAGGCAAAATTACTTGTTATAATCTCATTTATATTATTGCAAATTCTCGCAGTCAAACCTGCATGATTGTCCTGCATTGAAACTCTGTGCTCCAAGATATATACTATTTTATGCCAATGGCCATTCTTATTGCTGTGTGTCTCATAAAAGCATGTTTTCCTGTTGTGATAACGAATGGATAGTTAATCACAGAGCTTGCAAACAAATGGAAAATCCTGCTGTTCCATAAAAGAGAAATGATGATCTCTTTTTAGGTATGGTGACACAGGCATTAACAGAGGGCAAAGGACTATCCATGGAGAACAGGAATCAAGGACACGGAGGATGGTGGAGCAAGACTATAGAAAAGATGGTTTCTTTTGTGGCCCCCCAGGTAAGGAAATTCTCATTAAAGAATTTCGAAGGATAACTACCAAGAAATACAAGAAACTTCCCGTATTTCCTAATAAAGCTGGGAGAAGCCATGCTCAGGACATGCAGACTTGCTCTGAAAATATTAAAGTAGTCAGATATAATTAAATTCTGTGTGTTCCAAAGTGCCTTTCACTTAGTAATGTCACATCTTTTTTTGCAAACCTTAACATATTAAACCTCACCACCTAGCTGTAGGTAGAACTGTTTGAAATTCTTCCATGGAAAGTTTTTTCATGGAAAAATTTGTCTTCACCTAAACCTGACTTTTTTTTTTTTTTGCAAAAAATCATTTTGGAAGAAATTCTCCATTTTTAAAAAGATTGAAAATGTTTAAAAAATCCTTACAAAATTCAATGTTTTCAGAAACAGTTGTTTGGAAATGAGGGGGAAAGTATCTGATTTCTCTCAATTTTGCATCTCTCACCCTTCTTGTCCCCAACATGTATAGAAAATGAAAAAAGCTGAAAAGAAAAGCTCTGCTCTTACTTACCATCTTAAGGAAGTGCTTCATTTGTCAGGATCTTTAGAGCTTTTGGTTATTCCTCAGCCCCTCAATCTTTCCAACTTTCTGTGATAGGAATCATAATCTAAGCCACAGTAGTTTCTCCACAGAGACGAAATTCATAGCCTAAAAAGGATATTTAGAGAACCTTATGTCCTTACCTCTCTGATGTTGACAGTTATGGTACGCAGACTACAGCTAAGTACAGACAGTCAAAAAGCCCCAGGCTGAATCAGTTCAGTCTTCACAGGTTAGTCTGAGCTACATATATTTAACCAATAAGCACGTGATCAGACATTCACTTTCGATTCCTGAAATGCAGCCCCATACCTGCAGTGGCCCAGGCTAGAAACTGGAGAGTGCTAGAGCATGCCTCCCAGCTCTGCTGGAGCAGACAGCTTGGGCCAAGGCTACCCTGCCCACCCTGCAAAGGGGGGGAGGGGTGCAGGGAGGTGCAAAGCATCCTGGGATGTGAATTAACTTGAATCTGGAGGGGAGCTGGGACAGAAGTTCAATAAACAAATTTAACCTAAATCAGTTAAGTCTGATACTACATCCATCCAGGTTTATCTTAAACCAGTTTCAGCCATTTTGAAAGCGGTTTATGTGCTCTGTTCTGTTATGTGCAACTTCTGTTGTGTTACAGATTTGAACTGGTTTCTGATCATTTATATTGGCGTATGTGTAATGTCTGTTCCTATGAGTCAAAGCAGACATAATGTAACCTTGCCCTTCACTAGCAGCCACAAGCTCTGTGGGTTTTTTTCACTTAATAAAAAGTGCATCAGTAGTTTTACAGGTAGTGCTAGAGTAACTTTTTGTCCATAGTAACTTCCAACCAGCCTGGCTGATCCTTCATGGAGTACAGATTTCTGTTTTTTTCATGGCTATATTTCTGTTTTTCAGAAAAGAGTTATTCCCAGCTGGTATTTATGTCCACAACTGCTGGAAGCTTATGGAACTTGCAAGCTATTCAGTCCATGTGTCAAATTGAACAGGAGAAGGTTAGTAATGTCATTTGGAGCACATACATATACTTCTCTTTTCAGTCAATCTCTACCTTTAAGGCATGTGGGAAAGTGGTAATATAAGACAGAAAGCATCTTTCATCCAGGATGATGCAAAAGCATATTCTATCTGCCACCAATATTCAGTTGCTGTAGGGTTGAAAAGCAGTGCATATCAACAGTTTGGGCCAGAAACTGTAGACTATTTAAGGTGGCATCATTGGAACTAGGCTGACATTTCAAACACTAGGATTAATTAGATTACATAGGTTTGTGAAAAGGACCATAAGATCTTTAATAACCATGGGCAACTGGTGTCTCCTGAGTCAGGGGGGCACTTGCCCCCCCCCAGTGGACAGTCAGCGACCGGGAGGGGTTACCCCTACGGCCGATCCCACAGGCCCAGGGGGGAGGTCCCCTGCAGCTGATCCCGCCAATCTGCAACTGGCAGCAGCGTGCCATTGGCACTTCCAGGCACACCACTGGCACATTTGGGTTGGGGGGATAGGCCACGGGGGGGACCACTTCTCTTGGCGCACTCCCGGACCAGTGCTCTCGGGGGGGCACCAGTGCTCTTGCCTGCCCACCTGCCCAGGTACTCTGCAGTCAGGGGGTGCATGTGCACCCACTATACATCGCCACTGTTAATAACTATAAAGGATCAGATTTTCTGAAGGTTACATCTCCAGAAGTTTGGTATTCTCTGCAAGGGCATGTTTATTTTTAAGTCACTGCTTTGATGGCAGCTTGGTGGACATAATCAAACTAGCTTTAACAGCTATTTTGAGTACTGGTAGCAGTGAAGCCATAGCAGCAGCATGTCACTCAGTGTGGACAGAAAAATCCAAAAAGTAGCTACCTTGCTAGCAGTATCCAAGCTAGTTAGTCTAGGTGTGTCTACACTAGTTGCAACACAGCAGTGACCATACTGCAAATGCACCCTAAGTTAGAAATGGTCATGTAAGGACAGGTAAGCCAGATGGCCTGTTTCCAGCCAAATAGGACTGCACTGGATATGACCAGTCTTAATATTACAAACTGCCAGTCCAGTGCTAGTTGCAATGGCACTGTGGTCTCTTGCAGATCATAATTGTAAGACAATAAATTAGCTTGACTACATCTAATTTATTAGTGATGGTAAGAGAATCTCAGTAAGTATCTGATAGAGAGAGATTGTGAAAGTCTTCCAAAGAGGTTTGGACATATCTGCTGTTTATATAGGTGCAAGGCAAAAAGAACATGGAAAAGGAAATAAAGCAATATTTGGCCCATAATGGGGAAATAGTGTTGAACACTGACTAGAACAAGGATTCAAAATCAGGGTGCCGCATCACCATGAGATGCCATGAGATTATTTTAAGGGTGTCACAGGGTGCTACACAATATTTATACTATTAGGTGTGCAAATACCTACACATGATTCACAGAGTAAATCTAGAGATTTCAGATATGAATCCATATTGTTAAAAACATTGTGACTTGCTGTGACTTTTCTGAGCAGTTTACAACAGAAGAATTGCTCTATTATTTTTCTTTAGTCAATAAATGAGTGAAAACTAAGAACTGGCATTTTCCAAGGGGTGCCTTAAGTCTAACAAGGGATTTTGTGGGTCTAAAACACAGAACCACTAGACTAGCCTATAGTGGGATAGCCGTGTATCCAGATCTCATCCTCCAGGGAACATCACTGGAGTAAGAGAAAAACATCTAAGACTAAAAGGATAATGGGAAGAGGGGAAGAAAAGCCAAAATAATTGTCTCCCTTCTCATCCTGAGCCAGAAGATGAGTAGCAGTGAGGAAAACTACTGTTACAAGGGGGGAAACAATGGCTTGAAGAAGGGTCACATTTTGGAGATTAGCCACGGTAAGAAATATATAACTGAGGATGTGTACTGAGTTTTGGGGAAAGTGCTGTCTAGACGTCTTATTTCCATGTCTATAGTATCTTGAATTCTGTCAACAGGAGGATGAAGAGACATGGTTTGTAAATGTGGTGAGGAAGGGAAGATTCCTGGGAGGAAGTTAAACAACATTTTATATAAAGTCGGGTGGTGGGAACAAGATGAACCCTGTATAGGGAAGGTCTAATGTGATATCTTCTTGGCCATTTTTGCAGATCCGCTCTCACGTTCATTTTAAAGATCTCTGTCAACGTACTGAAGCCAATGAATGCTGCCCAAGTTGGTCTCTGGGTAACTATATAGCTGTCCTGTACAATAGGTCTTCTTGTTTGGAGATAACCCAAGCAGACATCTCCCACACATTGATCCTGCTTCGTTCCTGTGCCCCAGACTACCACAAAGGCATCCTTACCCCTTCTTGCCTAGGTCCCAGGACTGTGAGAGAGAAACATTCTCAGTGTGCCAAACTCCCAGAAAAATGCACCCAATTCAATGCTATTTACCAGCTTCTCCACTTCTTGGTTGACAGAGACTTTCTCAGTCCTCAGACAATGGAGTATCAAGTACCATCACTCAAATACAGCCTGTTGTTTTTGCCAACAAGAAAAGGTACATCTATGATGAGAATCTATCTGGACAACCTTGAATCATGGGACCTGTTTGATAATTACACATCAATTACAGGAATGGACCTGGGTCTTAAACAAAAGCTTTTCAGGCACTATCTTTTACTCGATAACAGGTATCCAGTCCTGGCCATATTAACCATTTTTCTAAGTATATCTTTTTATTTACGCTCAATATTTGTAACTTTTATGGTCCTTTTGGCTGTTGTTAGTTCTTTGATGATATCGTACTTCTTGTATAAGGTGGCCTTCCAATTCACCTACTTCCCTTTTGTAAACTTGACAGCAGTCATCATTCTCAGCAGTATTTGTGCCAATCACACCTTTGTCTTTTTTGACCTCTGGAGCCTCAACAAAAGCCAAAATCCTTCTGCTGGCCTCCTGCAGTGGATGAGACAAACCATGCACCACTTTGGGTATCTTATGCTGACATCCTGCTTTACAACAGGTGCTGCTTTCTATGCCAGCTACATGAGCAATATCATTGCCATCCGCTGCTTTGCCATCTACATGGGTACTTCTGTACTGGTGAATTTAATATTCATGGTGACTTGGCTCCCTTCCTCCATTGTGCTGTATGAACGCTACATAGCAACAAACTGCATTTATAAGCCAGAAGATTACTGGAACAACAGTGGACACAAGAGAGTCATTCTCTTTCTTCATCATATATTCCGTGGCCTTCAAAATACCTGGTGTGAAACCTCCAAGCTATTATTTGAAAAGCTTCTTCCATGTGGTGTCATAAAGTTTCGTTATATCTGGATCTGCTGGTTTGCAGCCTTAGCAATAGGAGGTGCCTATATATCCTGTTTTAACCCTAAGCTAAAACTTCCCACTTTAGAGACACCTTCTGTCCAGGTGTTTAGGCTAAGCCACCCCTTTGAGAGATATGATGCCGAATACTGTCACCAGTTCATGTTTGAAAGGTTGGAGCATGGAGAAGGACAACACATGCCCATCACTATAGTCTGGGGAATACTGCCTGTGGACAATGGGGATCATTTCAATCCAAAGAGCAATGGCACACTGGTGGTAGACACGACATTTACAATCCAGAAGCCTGAAGCTCAGAAGTGGCTCCTGGAATTCTGCCAAAATGTGAAGAATCAAACGTTCTATTATCCAGACCTTGAGCAAAAGTCCACAGTGTGTTTCATGGAGGAGTTTCTCAGGTGGATGGATAGTCGACAGTGCTCCCAAAGAGACCACAGCTTCAACCTCTGCTGTAACCATTTCACTTTCCCATACCGAAGCGAAGTCTTCCTGCACTGCATAAAAATTATGATCATGGAACAAGGCAGAGGGGAGGATGAAACATATGACCTCGGCCTCAGATTTGATGGAGAGGGAAACCTAGCTGCCATGGTGCTACAGTTTCAAACTATTTACCACTACAGCTTCAACTACAGTGAAGCCAAACGATTCTACAATGAAATTGATCTCTGGATAACAGAGGAAATGAAGACTGCCCCTGTGGGGCTTCAGAATGGATGGTTCACTAGTAAACTCGAGCTATATAATCTCCAAAACAGTCTTAGCACAGAGACAATGGTGGTTATGGGGCTGTCCATAGCCATCTCGTTTGTAGTGCTGTTGCTCACCACTTGGAATGTTCTTCTTAGTATATTCTCTGTTATGGCTATCACAGGCACTGTACTGGTAACTGTTGGGCTTTTGGTCCTATTGGAATGGCAGCTCAATGCAGTGGAGTCTCTCTTCATTTCAGCAGCAGTGGGCCTCTCCACTGACTTTACAGTGAACTACTGTATTTCCTACCACTTGTGCCCTCACTCTGATCGTCTGAGCCGAGTGGCCTTCTCTCTGAAGCAGATGAGCTGTGCCACTGCCATGGCTGCCTCCGCTTTGTTTTCTGCGGGTATCATAATGTTGCCTGCAACAGTGCTGGCATACAGGAAGCTGGGGATTTTCATAATGATGATCAAGTGTATCAGCTGTGGATTTGCCAGTTTTTTTTTCCAGTCTCTCTGTTGCTTCTTTGGCCCAGAGAAGAACTGTGGTCAGATCCTCTGGCCTTGTGCCCATGCCCTCAAAGACTACTCTGATGACACTAGGCTGAATGGCAGCTTTGCCTGTGGTAGAAGTGAGAATCCAAACAGATTACGGAAGGTGCAGGAGTCCAACACTGCAAATGAGCAGTATGAACTCCAGCCCTTGGCCAGAAAACTGAGTGACAGTTTTGACAACAGCACTTCCACAAGTAAGTTGTCCAACCGTCCTTCAGTCCTGTCCGAGGACATGCAGCTTGAAGATAGTAGATGTCCCAAGATGGGAATTCATCCTTCTCTGGAAAGAGATAGACAAAATATGCAGGAGCCCCTTGAAAACCAACAAGTAGGTCTTTGTCAGTGTCCAGCCTTGCAAACATCTTCTCCTTACAAGCATAGCAGCTCAGGAGCAGAAGCAGAAATTCATAGAGAGAGACTTTGCAGAGATTGCAGATGTCAAAAATATGGTCCAAAGGCTTGGGATGCATCCATACAGGACCGTCATCCAGCCAACATGAAAAATGAAGGGCAGCTAAATAAACCCCAGTGCTCTGGTGATGCTGCTCAACAACAATCAGACTATACCTCAGAAAACAGTAATCTGCCTGCAGCTGAAATTTATAAACTTCACAGATGCCTTTGTTCTCCTGGCAGCAATTTCAACATGCTCAATATCTCCAGTGAGACATCTATTAGTGATTTTGAGCAGAGCATAAAACTTAATGAATCAGCCAGTTCTTGCCCTGATGTCTTAGAGATATCTGATTCCTGTAGTCAAACAGAGAGGGGTAACCTGAATGGGAAGAGAGAGACCCTGAGATTGGACCTGAAAGAGACTGTTTTTGACATATCTCCACCAGCATCGCAGCAAAACAGCTCTTCATGGAAAAATCGATTGGGATTAGGAAGTGAAGGTCTGGTTGTCCTACCAAATAGCCAACCAGACATGCCTGATGTTTGGATCAGGCGATCCAGTGTACAAAATTCTAGTTAGAGCAGCTGAAATCTCAGAGAAAACAGTACTCTTATTATAGGGCAAAAGGGAAAGAAAACTCTCCTATCTGATGTGTAAATATCAAATCTTACCTCCCACTCCTGTTTGAGCTGGGAATATTTCCATATATTTCAGCTGTGAAGATACTTACATTTTCACAGAACCAGCAAATCTGATATTGAAGAGCTGAGAGGCAGAAATGAATCTTAACGCAGTGCAAGCTCTTTGGCCTTCCAGTGGGCCATGCCACATCCACAACAGAACCATGAGATTCAGCAAGTCAATCTTGTTTGCCATTCTCTGTACAATAATTAATTGTTTTATTGTCAAGTCTAAACAGAAAGTTAATAATGATGAGATATGCATATTGCTGTATACTGAAAAAAAAAGAGAGAAATCCTCAAGTCCATAATTGTTACTAACGGGAATCTGGCTAATGACCAGTGTTGACTAAACAAATTCCTTTCTGTTGAAATAGATCTCTGTTTTTATCAGTCACCTAGGTCTACAAACCTCTACAAAAAAATTGTATTCAGGTGTTTTCAGATGTCCAGTCAATGGGTGTTTTTTAACTGGCATGGTCTGTTACTTATCAATAAGAATATGTAATGTAGCCCCAAAGAGATTTCAAACTGGAATTTCATCTGGTTTTATTTTAGGGAATTCCTTCAGATACTGTTTAAAATTTTCAGTGTGGAATTTTTTCCTGACAAAAAGCCATGTCCCCATCCCCTTTGTGACCTGGGAAGTTTGCTTTTCATCTTTGTAGCTTGTTTCCATCCAGGATTTTCCATACAAGTGTAAAAACATATTTTTTAAAGTTTGCACATCTGATGAATCTTGAATTCTACTTTTTCTCTACCAGAAAAAATACTTTCTTGTCTTTATCTGTTAAAATAATCAGAAAAAGCTTTCTCTCTAAAATTAAATATAAAAATAAATGGTTATGACAAACTTTCCTAAACCTGAGATGCCTGGTACCTTTGCTGTAGAAATTATGATTCATTTTCTTCACGTTATACATGCCTAATGTTTTTTTCCCCAACTAAATCAACAAGAGGAAGTTTGTACCTCCCAGAATCCAATGCCCACAGAGCGCAGGTAGGCATTATTCATGACAGCTATCCATGACACTTACCCAGGCTGGCTAGTCTGGTTAGTAACAGCAGGAACTTGAGCATAAAACTCAAGTTGGAATACTGACCCCCTTGGTTTGTATTTATTTTGCAATTTGAGTTTGTCTCACAATAGCCCAGATCCGTATTGGTTATTCTTTTCAATTCTAGGGTACCTGTTCAGCATTTGGTTGGTTAAATAATAAGTACAAAAAATGACTTAATATAAACTATAGACTTGTAAGGTTTGAAGGGATGTCAAGTCATTTAGTCCAAGTTTTACACAAGTGCAAGGTGCTCTGTTCCTAAACTCTCCAAGATAGATGCCTACGCACCCTCTTCTTGAAAGCCTCCAGTGAAGGAGATTTCACAGCTTCCTTACTGTTGACCCCCAGAGATGGTCTGAGGCCCAAGAGAAGTTCAGGACACCTTCCAAAGGTATCAAGTCCTTTATAGGAGTATAAGGAAACTTTTGTGACAATTTTAATAATGAAATACTGCAAGAAAATTAAGCATAATGTAATACAAATGATGGGTAACATGATTTAATTGGGATGATGGAGATGTGGTAGGTAGTTCACATGACTGGAGTATTGTCACAGATGGGTATAGCTTGTTCAGGAAGGGTAGGCAAGGGAAAACAAGGAGAAGGTGCAGCCTTATATATACAGGTGATATACATATGTTCTGAGGTGGAGTATGAAGTGGAAGGTAGGCCTGGTGAAAGCCTCTGGGTAAAAGTCAGAAGGGAGAACAGCAGAAAGGATGTCATGGTGGGCATCTGCTGCACGGTACCTGTTGGCATTTGATTTATGACCCAGATACCTTGTCCCAGGCAGATCCAAACCCTCAGACTGACCGTGACCACTCCAAATTGGAGAATAGGCAAATTTTATTGATACACAGTGATAGCAGATAAGAATAATGCAAACAATTTTACATCTACCAATCCTAGAGCTGCACAGAGTCAAGATACGTCTGCCCAGTACGCAAACTTCACTCTGAGGTTCTCTCTCAAATGTCAGATGTCAGCAGCCTGGAGGTTGGAGGCTGAGGTCCCCTGCCCCCCAGTGGGGTGGGTGAGACAGTCTGATGGTATGCCCTCTGTCCACAGTGGCCTTGGGTTCCCCTCTCAGAGACCCTTTGCTATTCTTAAATCCCATTTTTTGTATTCTTTTCTCCTCCTGTGATGACTCTTCATTTCTGGACATCACTGATTGGTCTCTCTGTGGTCGTCATACAGTCCATGTTCTGTCTTGTCAGAATAATTTGTTGTTTCACAAGCCCAGAACATGCACACATCCTAATTTGGGCTTTCCTAGTCTTCTCCTACTTTGGTCTGTTCCTCAAAACCAGAAATCCCAAGGGCTCTGCAGTTGGGCACTATGACCTGGTGCCACCTTATCTCATGTTATGGAACAGTGTGGTATGTCTTTAATTTCTCAGCCTGTGTGTCTGTTTGTTGCTTGCCTGTCAGATACTGGGAGCCTTAAGGGAACTTGCAGAAACAGGCTTTTAGAAATCAATTAACCCTTGCTGTTGCCCTGGACTATTGTTCTAATGCAATATTTACTTTACCTATAAACCAGTTATCAAAAGCAAACCTCTAAATACCATTTTCTAGCCTTCAGTACCAAACCAGGAAGAGGAGGTGGATGCAGCCTTCTTTAAGCGACTGACAGAAACTTCCGAATTGCAGGACTTAGTTTTCATGGGGGACTTTAATTATTGGAACACCTGCTGGGAGGGAAACATAGCAGTGCACAAGCAGTCCAGCAAATTCTTGGCGTTTCATAGATTTCATAGACATTTGGGCTGGAAGGGACCCTGAAGGATCATCGAATCCAGCCTGCTGCCCCAGGGGCAGGAAGTCAGCATTTTTTTCCTCTTCTGTGTATCCAGTTGTTCTCTTCAGAACCGGTGTGCCCCTAAGGTTCATTACAATCTAATTAAAAAACACAACCACCCATGCTCGCAGGAGAAAATGCCTGAGCACATGGGTAAGGGACAGAGGACTGCGAACAGTAACCCAGTCCAAGCACCATTCCCTGGCAGCCAGTATCGAGTGGAGTGCCCCAGGGTCGGTCCTGGGGCCAGTTTTGTTCAATATCTTTATCAATGACCTGGAAGATGGGATGAAGTGCATCCTCAGTAAGTCTGCAGGTGACACCAAACTGTGGGAAGGAGTAGATATGCTGGAGGGTAGGGCTAGGACTCAGGGTGACAAATTGGAGGACTGGACCAAAAGAAATCCCATGAGGTTCATCACGGGCAAGTGCAAAGTCCTGCACTTAGGACAGAACAATCCCCTGCACCGGGACAGGCCAGGGGCCAACTGGCTGGGTAGCAGCTCTGCAGAAAAAGAATGGGGGGGGTTACAGTGGACAATTAGCTATGAGCCAACAGTGTGCTCTTGTTGCCAAGAAGACTAACGGCATACTGGGCTGCATTAGTAGGAGCACTGCCAGCAGATCGAGGGAAGTGATTCTTGCCCTTTATTGGGCACTGGTGAGGCCGCATCTGGAGTCCTGTGTCCAGTTCTGGGCCCCCAGTACAGAAAGCATGCAGACAAATTGGAGAGAGTTCATCAGAACGCAACAAAAATGATGAGGGGCCTGGGGGACATGACTTGTGAGGAGAGGCTGCGGGAACTGGGCTTATTCAGTCTAGAGATAAGAAGACTGAGAGGGGATTGAATAGCAGCCTTCAACTACCTGCAGGGGGGGTTGCAAAGAGGATGGAGCTGGGCTGTTCTCCGTGGGGGCACATGACAGGACAAGGAGCAATGGGCTCCAGTTGCAGCAAGGGAAGCTTAGGTTAGGTATTAGGAAAAGCTCTCTCACCAATTGGGAGAGTAATAAAGCACTGGAACAGGCTACCCAGAGAGGTTGTAGAATCTCCATCCTTGGAGGTTTTTAAGACCCAGGTAGACAAAGCCTTGTCTGGGATGATGTAGTTGGGGTTGGTCCTGCTTTGAGCAGGGGGTTGGACTAGATGTGGCCTCCTGAGGTCCCTTCCAGCTCTCACTTTCTATGATCCTTCCCTACCATTTTGCAGCAAGAAAACAGAGGCCTCAAAGAGATATTAAGTGACTTAAGCACAGCTACTGAGTAAATCTTTGTCAAGCCAGGAAATTCAACCTGGGCCTCCCAACTCCCATAGGAGCTGGTTGGGGACAATTTTTAGGAAGAAAAAAACCCAAACTGATGCCTGAAGCAAATACCCCAAAAGCTACCCTGTCACAGTTCCTATATGCCAAAACTAAAGAGCAAAGAAGACCAGCTCTTATAACCTTCCAACTGTACTAGTGGGTCTCTTGGCGAGGTATCTGCCTTAAAATCCCAAGTAACCCTAGTGCCAATTGGGAACAGCCTGCAAAGGATAAGCATTGCCCCATCCAGAAGTGAATCCTGCCCCTTTGCACTGGTAATGCAACTGTCAGTAGGCCTGGTGTGAGTTATGTGGTGGGAAAACCAGGACCTCCTCTATAACCCTGTGGAGACATGTGCCTAACGTGAAGAAGGGGAGTCATTCCAATGGTATGCCAGAGCAGGGCAGTGGTGGATTAAGATTTACTGGGGCCCTGGGCTAATAGAAAATTGGGGGCCTCTCATACCCTATTATAAACATAAATGTATCATGAATGCATCATACCACTCCTCCCCCACAGCTGGGCCCCAGGTCCCAGAAGCTGGACTCCGGCGGGGGGGAGGGGCCCCTTCCCCTCCTGCTGCTGTTGCTGCCAAGGGCAGGGCGGGCCTCTGTGCCCCATGGAGGAAGCTGAATGGACCCAGCTGGGGTGGGATGGTACATGTCTGCCTTTCCTCCCTGCCCCATCCCCACCACAGCCGGAGTGGACCAGTGGGCAAGGGTGAACGCAGGCTCCTTGCTGTGGGCTCGGGTCTCTCTGCTCTGCTGCCTTTGCCCCGAGGGCTGTGCAGCAGCCGCACGTTCCCTGCCCACACAGCAGCAGGGGGCACAACTCACAGCCCCCAGTGCTGCTGGGCAGGCAGGGGGTGTGCGGCTGGCATGGGGCTCCCAAGGGAAAGGCTGCAGAGTGGAGAGTCCTGAGCCCACAATGAGCAACACATATTGGTGCCATACACAAATATGGCGGGGAACAGTTGCCCCCCTCCCCCACGCCTTCCCTAGGGGGTGTGCGCAGCAGTGGGGAACTGCACCCCTCCCCCCAGCCTGCGCCCCTGGGCGAGCTGCCCGTTCCCCACCCTTGTGTCCAGCGCACTGTCCTGGCTGGGCAGCGCCACCAGCCCCTGCCCTCACCATGGGGGCCTCAATCGGCCTAGACAGCGCACAACCAAACCAATGAATACATGAACAAGCAGGCAGCGCGGGTGCCTGGTGAGAAGGGGCTGTGTTGCCTGTTTTCGGTAGGGCAACAACGAGCCACGTCAAAGAACTGCGATCAAGCTCCCCACTGAGGAGCTGTCCCCCCCACGCAGGGTGACGATGTGCACCAGCGGCAGGCGGCGCCGAGAGAGTCGCAGTGCTGCGCCTGTCCGACGGAACACTAATCCCACCCCCAGCGCGGGCTTGGAGTAGGCGCCCCTAGGAGGCCCCTTGGCCCGTCCTCCCTGCACTCTGATTGGACGGTGCCCGACAGGCCCCGCCCCGGCTGCGGAACTCCCCCCGTCCGGCCAGAAGGGCCCGCCCCCTCCTGGGGGAGGGCGGGGCCCACGTGGCATCCCGCTCCTGCCCCTTCCTTGTGAGGGCGGGCCTGCCTGCGGGGAGAGAAAGTAAGGCTTCGCTTTCCTCTCTGCGCATCCGCCCACATTCTTCTTCGGGGCTCCCGTCGATGTCTGCGCCTGCGCGCGAGTCTGCTCCTCCCTCCCCGGGGCGGTTGAGGGGCTGTTCCCATTTCAAACGGCCGCGGGAGCTGGGCAGGTGTGTCGGGGCGGCGTTGCCGGGTCCGGCTGCCTCCCTGGCGTGGCCTCATGCGTGTCGCGGTCTCGATCCACGCGGGGCGGGCGGGGGCGGAGGCGGGG